GTTTTTTTGTTTGTTTATGTGTTTGATTTGGGTTTTTTTATTAATTGTTTGGTTGGGGTTTTGTTGTTGTTGTTGTTGGGTTTTTTTGTGGAGGTTTTTTAATTAGTTTTATTCTGTTTTGCATTTTTTTTTCTTCTTGTTCTTGAATACAAGTGGGTATGCCCTGGGTTGATAGGATGGAACTGTGACTCTTTCTCCAATAAACTCAAACGTTACAGAAAAGGATGCCCTGTAGAAATTTAAATAGAAAGCTGTCTTTCCTTTAGAATCTGCAGAAATYCTGATCAAAAATGGATGTGGATATGCAGAGAGCCACAAGCCACATCTGGCTATTGCCTGAGTGCAAAATATTTTTTCTTGGCAACAGAACTCAGGGTGATGTATCGTTGTGTACCTCACTAGAGATGGGATGCAGAGGTGAAAACTCCAAAAGAGGGTGGTGTGCTGAAGCTTCTTTCATATCCAAGTGTGCACAAAAGCATCAGGCAGAAACTTCAGAAATTACTGCCCAGTCCACTATCTGTGCTTTGTTTGTGCTGTGGAGCAGAGTCAGGGCAGGCTGCCTGGATTCCTCCAGGTGGGASAGAAGGGGATGTTGAGCAATTCTCACAGGAAAGTGCTCCAGTTCCTACTGGGTGCCAGGACTAGACTGGAGTCAGCCTGTAAGAAAAAAGGCCCCATGTCCATACTGCGTTTCTCTTGGGGTTTCTCTTCAGATCTGCTCTCATTGTGGTGCATTTCCTGCTAATGTGGGTTTGGTCATGAGGAATTGGTTTCTTGSTGCTTAAAACCAAGCTGCCTGCACTTCTTGTGAGCCAGCAATTGCACCTCCATGCCCTTCTGGGTGCTGATCCTGCCCTCATCACACCAGTCCCCGTGGATGCACAGAATGGGGCTGTTTTGCCACCAAGAGCCCTAAATCCTATTCCTCCACAGCACAGGAGTTACCGAACGCTCTGACAACGACAGAAATAGAAGATGACATTGTAGGTGATTTAACTCGTGGAGAAAGTAATCATTTCCCTGTTGGACACCCACCTCTCCCCCTGTCTTTTATTACCAGGAGATCAGATAAAACAACACGCATTAGGAAGATGCCGATGTGCCAAATATAGCAGAGAAGTGGATTAAGAACAGTTAATTTCTGACAGAATGTACCCCGTTGTATTATCTAGGTCAGTACAGCCTGGGAGATGTCCTATATAATTTGTGGCCATGCAAACCCAAGTTGGCCTTGGTGAGTGGGAGAGAGGCAGGAATCAGCTGGTGAGGTACCACAGGTCCCAGCTGGAATGAGCTGATTTTTTTTGTTCAGTTTGTTTGTGGCTCCCTTTTTCATCCAAACCATGRCCAGGGGTGATCAGGGAAGCAGCTTCTCTGCATCCCCTCTCTCTGCTGCAGTTTGTGAGGGAGTTTTGCAGCCTTTGCCAGCAGCTGAAGGCAGCTCTATTTGAGGGCATGATGGAGGGGACAGCTCTCTGTTTTGGTGGAGGGATCTGGCCTCAAGCTTCCTGATACCTTTTGTCTTCTGTCAAGGGAAGGGATTATGAGAGTTGTCAGGCAAAGCTCCTGGAATGTTGGTCTTTTCTGGTCATCAGTGGTTTGTGCACGCACATTTCCCCTTTTCCAGGGCTGTGCAGGGGGGAAGCAGTGTGCCCCTGTGAAAAGCTCCTGCTTTACAGCCTCCACTGCTTCCTGGAGCTGCTGCTTTCAGTCAGGTTGACTTCCTTTCTCAAGACGTGACAGGGTTAGTTCTCGATCTGCAGAAGCCTCTCTTTCTCCTCTCATCCTGGTCCTTCCCTCCTCTTTTCCTTATTAAGGTAGGCAGGGGTGGATAAATCCCTCGAGGTCTTTGCAGACACAATGCTTCACCCCAGCCAAGAGACAGGCCGGRCACAATTCACATAAACATCCTCTCTGGGCATAATGTATTTAAAACCAAAACAGAGATGTACCAGAATGTGTGGGGTCAGTGGAAAAGGATGCAAATTCACTGTCCTTAGGTGTGTGGAGCAGGTCGCTTGAGCTCTGTGCATTTGCYCATCTGTTCCTTCTGCTGTTGGTGCAGGTTGAGGCCTCGATCCTGACTTCAGCTGACAGAATTGTCAGCTTGCAGAAACATATGTGAGCACATTCTGCAGCAGAAGCAGGTCAGCTCAGTGTGCAGCAGCTCTTAGGAGTGTAGGGACACAGATTTTTTTTTTATCTCCCTGCCTGAATTCCTCCAGTGGTCCCTCCAAATGGCGTCATCAAAGAATTTGTAGCCACTTGGATTGCCAGCTATGGAGAAATCTCAGAGCAATTTAGTTTTGTTGCAATCTAAAGGCCCAGCACTGGAGAAGAGCAGCCCTGTAACGTATTCCCAGTGGCCAATGAGCACATCATCCCACATTGTTTCTAAATATAACTATGTTCCCTAATATGCCCATGTTCTCTGTTTTTCTTTAATTATTTGTTCCACTTCAGTGGCTTCCCCTCAGATTGGTGCAGGTTGGAGATAACTATTATGAACTTCCTAATTACGGGGATATAAATACACGGAGTCTCACACTCCCAGCCTGCTGTATTTTGGCTGTGCAGGGATCAGTGTTCGCTGCCTGATCTGTCACAGACAGCTGATTTTTTATGGTCTCACAGGTGGCTTCACCCTTTGTCGGCAATTGATAAAAATAAAGCATCAAGAAGCGTTTTTACATTGAATTTGAAGAACATCTGATGGTTTAATTCTGACCATTTTTATTTTATTACTGCTTTAACTTCCTTGCAGTTTCATAAAAAGTTCAACCCTTTAATTTAAAGAGYTGTTTCCTACAATTCCTCCCTGTTTTCAGGGAGGCAAACAAAGCCTTTCATTCCTAGGGATTTCCAGCTTGGGTGTTTCATTAGTTTGAGCAGTGTCTTTGTTTCTGTGTCATTCCAGATTCCCTATGCAGCAAGCTTGATCAGGAAAGAAAAGCTCGGTGCACACCTCAGCAAAAGCTAAAGGTGAGCCTGTGAAAAAAAATACTTCATTTCACCTGGTTTGGCTGCCTGTTTTCCTTTACAGCCATTGCAAGAATTAAGAGGATCATTCTGTTGTTTTATGCTGCTGATTCTGGTTTCAAAGCCCTGTCTGTGCAGTTTTGTGCTAAAGCTGATGTGTGGCACGCATTACGAGGCTTCTCTGGGGTGGGAGCAGTTCTSGGACCTGACCCGTGGGTCCTGTAGCGTCAGGAGAAAAGGCAATAGCTCCAAACTGAAAGAGAGTAGCTTTAAATTAAAWATTGGGAAGRAATTCTKCCCTCTGAGGGTGGGGAGGCCCTGGCACAGGGTGCCCAGAGCAGCTGTGGCTGCCCCTGGATCCCTGGCAGTGTCCAAGGCCAGGCTGGACATTGRGGCTGGGAGCAGCCTGGGACAGTGGRAGGTGTCCCTGCCCRTGGCAGGGGGTGGAACTGGATGATCTTTAAGGTTCTTTCCAACCCAAACCATTCCATGACTCTGCTGCCTGACCACGTGCTTTTCCTGGCACTGAAAAGTGCCACCAAGGTCATGTACCTTCAGTGGAAGGAGGGAAGTACCTTGGCAAAAAAATGTTCACACTACATGTAGGGAGGAGCTTTTCTGCCCTCCGTGGAATTCCTTTAGCTCCAGGAAAAAGCAGTATATCAGTATGTTTTGGGAGTTTGAAAAGTAGTATATCAGTATATTCTGGGAGTTTAAAACGTACTATATCAGCATATTTTGGGAGTTTCACAGAACCCCACTGGCTGCAGTTCTGTGGTTCTGTTAGGAAGGCACTGTGCTCATGTGCAGGGCCTTCCTAAACCAAGCACCACATTTTTCAGGACTGTTTATTAAAAGTGTTCAGTAAGGACACCACCTCCATCATCAGTGGCCTGGGAGATTCCAGTTTTAAATACTGAAGTCTTCACATTTAAAGGACATTTTCCTGTTTTTTTCTGGTAAAACAAGAAGATTAGGGATTGGAGACAGATGCCAAAAGCTGGTAGCCCTGCTACTGTGTTGTGCCACAAAATCTGGCTTGTGGATTCATTGAAAAATTCCCCAAGGAAAAGTAGCTGGATTAGTAAAAAAAAAAAAAAAAAAAAAGAGCTATTCATTCACAGATCAGTAATGCACAAAATAGAGGTATTCAACAGATCAGTAATGCACAAAATAGAGGTATTCAAGAGAGTCTGGGACATCTGAGAAGGGCTTGATTGTATAGATGATGGAGGTTTGCCTGAGACAGAGAAGAAGCAGATTCTTAAAAATAAAACCAGTGGGAGTAARCACAGAGTAACCAGATAACCACTAACTGTGGCCCCGAGCTCTGCCCGCTGTGCTAAGCAGATTAATCCAAACATCGAGCTGGTCTCTCTTGCCCTCTTGTGCACACATTCTTACTGACTGCCAGCGGTTTCCGATCGGCTCTKCAACAGTCTGAGCGCTGATTTAAAACAAATTCAGCGGCATGACTACCCTGAATTAAACAGCACGCCTCCGCAGAGGAGGAGCAGCGCTTGATGCGCGATAAAAGTCTGCCTGAGGATGGCAGCATCGGAGGACGGGATCGGTTTGTTCCCAGCATCCAGAACTTTTCCATCAGCATCCAGAGCTTTTCCACCAGCTCTCAGCCCCGGCAAGCAGCGGTCGGTGCCGGATTGCCGGGAGCTGGATGCGGAGGATGGATGCGCTCCTCACCGCCGCTTGTGTTTTTCCAGCAGCTCTCCATCCCTGCAGACAGCCGGGATTCCTCTAAGCAGGSCCCGGCGCTTTTGAAAGATTAGTTGTTATTTAACTGGTGAGCTGAAGCAGCAGGTGGAGGGAGAATCGCGACTCTGTTGTTCGGAAGCAGTTTGGGGTCGAGATGCGCCAAGCAGGGAAAGTGCGCTCGGGGTGGAGCGTTTGCACATCCCTGCCCCCGCAGCGCTCCCTGCYTCGCTCAGTCCCTGCCCTGGGGTCCCCAGCTGCCCTTCTGGGCCCTGTCAGATYCCAAATGCAGATTTGGCTGTGTTTAATCYCACCGCAGTCAGTTAAAGTCGGCAYTTCACCTYCATTGCSAATATTCCCAGTGACCCCACTGACACTCACTACCAAAGTTGTTCGGGATGCTCCTAGAGCAGGTGACCCGCAGGTATCCCTTTTTCAAGGGTTGTAAGTAATGTAATAATTCTGTGACCATCTTAAACTTTATTTTAATGTTGGTAACACTTTTTTTCCTCTCTCTCTCTCTCTCTCTCTGTTTCTCTCTATCATTTTTTTTTTCAATTCCCAGAAGCACAGGAGCTTTTGCAGCTGTTACCTTATAAGTTATAACCCAGTCAGAAACCTGACTTGTATATAGACTGTGAAATGGAAGTGTTTGGGGATCTAAATAAAAAAAAAATCAGGTTCCTCTGAACCTAAGGACAAGTGACCTCATAGTATCATGGACAACCATGTCAAATAGAATGTAGCAGCCATTTATTAGTAAACACAAAACAACAAAAAAAAAATGCCTGTCCTTGATATTTTTTTTTTTTTTGGTGGTACCAAAGTTTAAGTCTTTGTGTTTTTAGAAGGACTATTGAGCTTGATAGAAAAAAAAAATGCTTTTGAGTCGTGCAGATAAGCTGTGAAAGGAATTGCTGGTCCTTTCAAYGCCACAGACACTGACAACATCTGCCAGTTCACCTTTTGCTTTGGAATAGTGATTGTTTTATGGAAGGAAACGAACGTCTCACCAGATGGGCCAGAACCACGTTTGGATGGACGGRTGGATGGATGGAGGGACGGACGGATAGAGCAGCGTTAGCCATACACAGTGCTTTTTAAAAGCAGTCTGGAGATTCTCACAGCCCTCTCCCTGGTCCCTTTCCTCCTCTGGTATTTTGCCTGCTGTATGAATTACGATTGTACTCCTCTGGAAATATTTTACAATTTAATATTGAGTGTAATTAAGAATATAATCACTGTTATCAAAAAAGGTATTTAACTCTGTTGTAGTTTCTTTATCATTCATGTGGATAAAAAGTCTATAATAAAAAAAAAAAAAAGAAAACTATGAGATAATAGTTGAGCTTCCCTGTAATTTAATGCCATGCTTGTTCCACTGAAGAAAACTAGGAAATTATCTCCAATAATACCTTTTTAGAAAAATCTTAATTCACAAAAAATATGTTGAAGAGTTTCATGGCAGAAATTTCTGCCTCTGGTTATTTTGAAAACATTCAGGAGTAGATTTAGTACAATTTTAGGATGTGCCTTGTGGATTCATGGAAATAGAGGGAAACATGCCAAAGTCAGTTGATTTTGAGGACTGCAGCCGTAGTCCCCAGACCTGCAAGAYCCTGGTGGTCAGGGCTTTCCTGAGTGAATCCATCTCCTTGCTCAAGGTCTCAGTCCCAAAAACAAAGGMTCTCCCACATCAGCACTGAAAAGTGGTTTTAGCCATACCCAGCAGAGTGTTGTGTCAATATTCCCCTAATTCCCAGCAGATCCCYGTGAGATTAAATCATCTGGCTYTACCCTGGTGCACCTGGAGGGCAGRRGAGGAAGGGCACAGCCTGTTTTCAAGCCCTACCCTGCAGTGTGCTCTGGTATTAGGTGAGTTGACAAGACTCACAAAACCAGTAGAATTATGGCTTTTGTGGGGTGGGAAGAAAAAAGCAACAAAACCACCAGGAAAGCTGGGGCAGGTCAGACCAAAAGTTCACCTGTACCCTGTTCCCAGTTGCAGAAGAAATCAGATAGTTTGTGAAAGCACATGAGCAATTAGAGATATGTTCCCAGAATATTGTTTTAGCTACTAATGATTTACTGCTCAAGGGTTTTCTGACCCAGACATGATGTCTTSTTTTTAATAGCCCTCAATGGATTTTTTTTTTCTCCCATGAACACAACCAGTGACTTTTTAAAACCTAGGCACACTTTTAGCAGCTTACAGCATCTTGTGGCAATAAACTCCACAGCTTAAATACAGCTTGTGGGAGAGAAAAGAAAACCAGCTTCTGATGATTTGAGCTGCCAAATGTAGCCTCATTTTATGCCCTGGGCTTCTTGTACTGGATGAGACAAATTGCCTTGATTAGTGGCCATCCTTGTCTGCCTTCTCCACGTCTGACATGATTTCATAGCATCTGTCAAGCCCTTTTGGCTGTCATTTTCCCAGATTAAGTTGTAGTCACCCCTCCAGCACAAGCAGCCCCATAGCTCCGTAGATTTCATGTACATTTTCCCAACCAGCTTTATCAGATGGAGAACGAGCTGCACAGAACATTCAGGGTACAGGATACTCTATAGATTATTGCACAGAACAGCACGGTGCTGCTTTCTGTGATGAATGAACCCGACAGCAGCGTGGTGGTAAAATCTCTTACCACTGTAGATCAAGAATTTTGCCCAGACATAAAGCAATCCTGTTGCTCAATAAGAAATTACCGCCCTAATGGCTTCTGAGTGCCGCAGCTCCTGGATGTGGTCAGGCGTGCAGAGCACCCTGCCATCCCTCACGTTTGAGAACCAGCCCATCCAGGCCCAGGAGCAGGCACAAAGCATCTAAAGCAGATTTATTTGTTTTCTGCTCCCAGCTCAGCATGTTCAGTCCGTCGTGTTCCCCAAGGGTTTTTCTGGAGCGCAGCGAGCGGCGTGGCCGTGTGCGCTGCTGGAGCTGAGAAGCCACATGTTAAACGCATGGCTCACTCAAATGACAGACTGAATAGGTGACAAATACGCTTCAGATTGAACACTCAGACTCRAAATGTCCAATTTCCACTCGGTTATTTGTGCCCACTCAGGAAATGGGAGCACTGTTCGCCCGGTTTGTTGCTGATTCACAGACCACAACGGCCAACRCTGTGATGGAACATATATCTCAGAATTAAGCATGAATGAGGTGTTTTGAATTAAAAAATAATCCCTCATGCTGATAAAGGTCAAGAACGTGATTCTAAAAAATAAACAAAGAGAGGCCTCCACCTAAATAAATCACTTGGACAAATATCCAGGGAAGCTTCTTATCAC